CCTTAGCATTTTGAAAATTCCGAATTTTGTTATACATTTAAGAAATTGAGACTAAGTAAATTTCGTGTAACAACTTTGTTTTCATAGAATATTTTCTAAAACATACATTTGATTTATTTGATTTATTTGTTTCCTTTTTTTTCCAAAAAAAAGATAAACGGTTATGGTTATTTTACATCACAGTACCGTGTGAATCCCAATTGTTATCTGTTTGTCATGATTTGTAAAACTGAAAACTTATCTGTTTTGGTTCAAAACATTAGGGTTGAACAAAACAGATATTTGAGTGAAAGGAAATCATGTTTTGCTTTAGATGTTTTTTGCATGGTGTCAACCACTGTCTACAATTAAGTCTCCAACGTTTCGGTCTGTTCAAAATGACCAAAAACTGATAGTCTTGTCTTGGAACTTTTACCTCGGATTGTCACACAATGTGTTAGTGATATTTTCTGATCATGAGACCGGGGTTCAAAAACAGTTTATTTCGTTGTCAATTTAAAAAAAAATGATTGATTGTTTGTGTTGAATTAAAAATTTTTTTTTTGGATTTTGACCATTTGAGAGAGATATGGATAAGAAAAAACTTTGATTTTGACCATTTGAAGGATAGTAATGATCTGATTTCCTTTTGGAGAAAACAATAAAATTGTTGATTAATGAAAAAATTTCCTTTCGGGAAAAACAAATAAAATGCATTGATTGATTAAGAAAAAAAAGCTTAGTTGATTTTTTTTAAAACAATCGAAATTTGTAAATGACTTTTGATGTTTGCATGAAGCTTATTCTTCTATAGCGATAGACGAAAAAAAACACGAGGAAAAGATCAGGACAAAAGATTTTAATAATCGAAATTCGCAAATGGCTTTTGATTCACACGAGGGTTCTTCTTTGCGAAGGATCTTTTTTTCTTTTAATTAAGAAAAAAAAAAAGCTTAGTTGATTTTTTTAACAATTGAAATTTATTCTTCTAAAAAAAATAAAATTAGTAAACTGTTAATATTAAATACAAGACGTATGACGACATACGAAACTTCCAAAGCAAGTTTGTAAAATATACTGCTGAACGTTTATCAATTATTGAATAGCTCGCATCGAGATAAGTGTTAAAAGTCAAGATCTATGAATCTGTTTGTAAAATATATTTAATGAACGCTTTATCAATTATTCAAATAATTATATAGGCGGGCTTGGTAGAAGTAAGTGTTAAGTCAAGATCTATTTGCAAACCAAGTTTCCAAAATGAACGTTTATTATTATAGGCGGGTTTGATCAAATTACCTCTTCTGTAGGAATGGAAAATCTCATGGTTAGAGGTGTGCAATTGCTGGTGACAGGAAGGTTTTAATTAAATCCGACATCTGTGATCAACATCAGATTTATTATTATTCTGAACCCCAGAGATCTGGGTAGACACACATTGTTAAGAGTTTTGTTTATACATGGCCTTGGTATCATTACTACCTGGGTGATGCAATTGTTTGTTATGTCAATGATGATATCAAATGTATCGCATAATAATCATGACCATCATGAATATTTGATGGATGGAGGCATTCACATACAAGGAAATGAAAGAAATTATTAAAGACATATGATTAATTATATTTACAATATACAATAAAAAAATTCCAAGACTGCACCCACACGAAAAAATAATCAAGTATGCAATTATATATGTTGGATCAACCACTAGGCCAGCTTTATTATGCACAAATAAATTAGGGGAGGATTTGCTCATCTATAATGTCCTGAAATTTACCAGTGATATCTCGAGATCGGGAACTCATCCGAACATTCCTAAATTCTTTATCGTGCCAAAAATGCACAACATTTAATCCCCTTCCCTGTAGCTCGTCAGAAGGCCAATATGGATCTAACACAATAGAATCCTCCCGAGAGAAATGTACAACCCAAACTTCCCGAGGGCAAATTTGCTCAGCATACTTAAAAACCTGTTCGAAATGTTTCTTCAACCCTGGTTGCTATAAGTTCCACTAAAGCTACAGGGTTGGGTTCAGCATTCTTTTTTATTGTCAGATCAGAATAAAGATGGTGCCAGCCTCCATCTTCGCAGACTTGCTCGAGATGCCACCGGCTTGTAATTTCAAAGTCATGATCTTTTGCCAGCCAATTCATAAAAATTCGATACATTTCTATATCGTAGACACACTATTTTGGAACTTTTTCATTGCACTTAGTTTCAACTCGCAAATAATTCGAACTTTTATAAGAACGGGTCGAACCAAGTGCAATTGCATTCTAATCAAAAGTACATCCGGCCAATTTTAACGTCTCGAGAACATCTAAAGATTCATCCACTCGCAAAGGTGCATCTACTCCAAGAAAAAAGAAATCTGTATTTTGTGATTGTGCATTGCTTTTCTTTGGCGAAAGTTCCGTTATATTTTCAGCCTTTCGTTTTTTTCTCGACATAACCAATGGCAATAGTGACGATGATGACGATGATGATGACGATGATGATGGTGATGATGATGATGATGACGATGATGGTGATGGCGACGACGATGATGGTGATGGTTTAGACTTGATCGCTTTATCCCATAAGCTACTCACTTTCTTAACATCAGCCTATTGAAGGCAAAATTGGGTGAGAAATATTTCTCAATAAGCATAATCAGACAAAAAAATAAAGATTAGATGACGGATGCAGGAATATTCCAATAGTTAAATTTTTGTTGACATAAAGGAAGGTACATAACCAATTCCTTCTCCAGACCAGTAGACCTTTATCGAAAACTTATATCGGAAGATTCCATAAAGTTTACTAAGGCGAATTTAATAAACGCATCCAATTCAGCACTTGTAAGAGTTGACATACTCCACTCCCATTAAGACGAATTTAATAGGTACAAGCACCTGGCTGTGCCCCCATCTGTCTAAATTTGTTATTCTTATTATACTTACTTTTTTTTTTTTAACACATTCTGAGCAACATTACGAATTTCATTAAACATATAATTATCATTGCTAATAGCGTGAAGGTATTAAAAAATTTTGATGTGATTGCATTTTCTCGGCGTGCTCATAGTTATTAATGATTAAATTGACGTAATGCTGAAGAGACCACCTTTCACATGGAAAAAATTCGAAATATTTGACATATGGGATATTTTCAGTGCTTTCTCGAACGAGGCAGATAGAAGTATTAGACATATTTTGTGTTAGCAATTATTTGCAAGGAAAATATGGTTGAAAATCACTTACAGTCTATAAAAATCAAAAGAGACGCGTTAAGTCCACTAAAAACGCGTCTTAACAATAAGATGGTCGTACAGTTATGCATACAGAATACCTATTCCAGTTGATGTAGATGATGTAGACATGTTTAGTGATTGATTTGTTAGTAAATGTAAGAATATATAAAAATATGAATAAAAAATTGTATATACACAGTGAGTCTCGGTTTAGCGGATCTCTAATAAAAGTCTCTGTTTGACGGATAAATGCTCAGAACTACCTATAAGTAAATCGTCTCGGTTTAACGGATTTACTAATTAAATCTTGAATTAATCTCGGTATAACGGATTTTTGAAATTTTTGTTCCAATTGCCCAAATTGTCCGTTAAGTCGAGACTCACTGTGTAGCAAGCAAACAGAATATTTCGTAAAGTTTTCATGAAATCGATATACTGTCCTTTTTAAACCGTTTTCGCTCATCTCTTTCTTTTGGATCTATAGAATGAGTAATGTAGAGGAATAAAAAATGTAAATGTATTTACGTCAAGAATTATCTTAATGGATTGAGGTCTATAGCAAAGCAAATTCTCTCGATATAGCGGATTTTTGAAAATTTTGCTCTAATATTAATTACTCAAATTAATATAAATTATAATTTCCTTTGATGTTTTTGATGATCATCCCCAGTTATTAGATTAATTTTAATTTAATGCCTCATTTCTTTTGAGTCAAGTATTTAATTTCTTATATTCTTCAAGGATTTAATTCTTGAGAAAAGATAAAGCACCATATAATTAATAATATGTATTTACTAAGAAGGGCAGTAATAACACATTCTCAATTGGTGAATAGTAGTATTAAAAATCCCGAATTACCAACGAATATCCAAGTTAATTTCAAACATGGACTAGCTTCAATCCGAACCAAACCAGAACAAGTTTTGAATTCACCAATTGTTGATCATGAACTAGATTATGAAAAATTTTTAAATAATATCAACGAGAAAGATAGTCATAATGAATTTTGTAGAAATTTTGGTATAAAGTTTTCAGATAAAAAACTGATGCATCAGGTTTGCATTCATAAATCTTTCAAGTTGGTTGATCAACCTACAAGTGAACGATTAAATTTTCTTGGTGAGTAATATGGGATGTGAATAATTTTATATTATCATTATATTATCATTATATTATCATTATATTAAAGTTTTTTATAATATATCTTTATTTGCATAGGTAAAAAGGTGATCGAGTTGTATTCAACTGATTATTTTTTAAAAAAATACGAGGATGAGGATTTGTCAGCAGCTAAATTGAAAGGCATGGTCAGAGAATATACAGATAAAAGTTATATCAAGCTTGGAACTATTGGAATGAAATTGGGATTAAACAAGTTGATGTATTGGACACCACAGGTGAGCATCTATTTCATATTTTGAATTAATTGATTGATAATAATTTGTTTATTAATCTTTATTGTGTTTATTTTTTTAAAGATAAATCATAAAAAATCAAAAAAATCAGAGGAAATTACTAATTTAACATCATCACCACCAGGAGAATTAAAAGTTGTTGGTAAAGTACTTTTAGCATTTGTAGGTGCCATATATCACGATAAGGTATAAAAAGAAATTCTATTATTATTTTTATTATTATTTGAAAAAAATAACTAAAAACTTTCATGCGTTTAAAAGGGAGCCTTGGCAGCAAGGAAATTTATCAATAAAAATATATTAGCAGTAAAAGAAGAAAAATAAAATAGAACTGTATATAATAGAAGTTTACATATCAATTTATCTTTCTTTTTAGATTTTTTTTTTTTACAAAGGTCTCAACAAATTTTCAAAATCTTGAATTGCATCTTTTTCAATTATCAATACTTCATGACCTAAAATATTATAAACATCGCTCATTTCGAAAATTTCATTGGCAGTCAATGCATGAACTTTTTGTAAATTTCTTGAAGCCAAGTCTAATTCCTTTTTATGTTCTCTGGTTAAAAATAAAATGGAATGACCTTCTACTCTATTAATCCTTTGTTGAGCATCATTTCCTTCAGTCTGGTTTTTTCCAAATGGATCCCAGGCATTCTTCTCCAATATTGATAGAAGATCTTTTGTTTTATGTGTTTTCAATTTAATTTTATCAACAATAATAAATTGGTTTTGAGCATACTTTGTTGAGAGAGCTGAACGTACACCTAATTCTCGAACATTTCGTTGTAGAAGTGTTCCGTGATCACGTGGTTTCGGTGGATGTACAACACCACCTGGAGAAAAAAAACTTTTTTAATATTTGTACTATTATATATATTATGTATGTGTTTTCTGATTGATTATGATTTATATATTTTTTTTCATGTGATTACTTACCACCCCTGATGTGAGGTGCACGATGACTTCCAACTCTAGCACGACCACGACCCTTTTGTGGAGCAAATTTTTTACCAGTCCCACTAACTTCAGCCCTAGTTTTAGCCGAGTGAGTTCCTTGTCGCATATTATCACGTTGCCAAACCACCACCCGATGTAGAATATCTTTACGAATTGGCGCCCCAAATACTTTACGATCAATTTTTAATATTTCTAATGGAAGATTTGTTTCAAAACTATAGACCCATGCTTCAATATGCGATGGGAGTGGCGAGACAGCTAGGATTTGATTTTATTTGATCAATTGATGTTGTAAATAATGACAATTTTAGAACTTGTCTAATTACCTACCTCTTGGCCTAATAATGTAATTATTTTCTGGAATTAAAACATTATTACTAGTAGTAAATTTATCATTATTAATTGATTCCTTAATTTAATAATAAATAAATAAAATAACCAATCAATCAATCAGTCAATTAATCAAAAAAAAATAAAATTTTCAATAAATGTCAATTACTGTTCTCAAAGTTGATAAAAATCTAATATTATTATTAATAATTGTAGTAAATGTAAATAATTTGTTCGTTGTATTATTATCAATTATTATGTTTTTATTATTAAATAAAGATTGTTTAAGAAATGGTTTAATACATGATTTTATCCACATTGGAATTATTAATATTATTATTATTATTTCAAAAAAGAGAAAATTTAATTGATAAGATATACATTGATGATCTGCAACATCAAGATCTAAAATAAAGATATACAGACACAAGTGTTTGTTTATCTTTCTTTACGCAACATATTGAAAAAAAATATAAAAATATATATAAATATGAGTTCTCCTCGTGAACAACTTTTATTCACTTTGTCTGAAGCTGCCTCACAAGAACCAGAACGTATAAAAGGTGCTGAAACGCAACTTAAACAGTGGGAAGTTGCACCAGAGTTTTATTCTACTTTATTGGTAGGAGGGATTTTTTTTTAAAAAAAATTGTGAAAATTTAGTTGCAGTTGTCAATACTTTTTATTTTCGCATATGCTCTTCCTATACATTATTAAAAGAATTTTTTCATAAAAATAAATGTTAAAGATTCAATTTCTTGATACTTTAATTTACAAAGTTAAATTTACTGGATATCATTATTGTTATTATTGTTTGAATTTAGGATATAATTTACGATAAATCGATTCATTTAAACGTTCGATTTTTGGGAGTTATCTTTTTTAAGAATGGCGTGGATCGGTATTGGCGTAAAACTGCAAAAAAGTACGTGATAGAAAATTTTGAATTTTACAAATTAATTAATTATAATGATTTTTTTTTAGTACAATAAACCCCCAAGAAAAAGCTAAAATAAGAAGTAGGATTTTATCTTTTATGGATGAAGAACATAATCAGGTATAATGATAATTATTATCATAATAATTATATAATAATGGTATTATTATTAATTACATAAATCCATATATTCATTTATATTTTCAATGTTAATATTAACATTAGTTAGCAACTCAAAATGCCGTTTTGGTCTCAAAAATTGCAAGATTCGATTTTCCAAATGAATGGTTAATATATTATTTGGTTTATGCTTGATTTTTTTAAAAAGTCTATTGTTTATTTTCAATTCGATCATCTTAACTTTAGGCCAGATTTACTTCGAAATTTATTATCCATCATTCATTCAACTATTAATTCCACGGGTGATTCTCAACAGATATTGATCCAAAAAAGAGCATTGTTAACTTTACATTTAGTAGTTAAAGCATTATGTTCAAAAACTTTTGGTCCTGATCGAAAAATGATGGAACAGGTATTGTTTACATATAAATATAATTTTTTCTTCTTAACAGCAAATATTAATTACGAATATTTTTTTACCAAAAAAAAAAAAAAAGATTGCACCAGAATTACTTCGTAATGTGGCCAATATATACGTAGAGCATGTAAATCGATTTTTCAATATTGTTTCTTCTTCAAATAATATCCTTGGCAATAACAAGGATTTAGAAACTTCGCTTTCTGCTTTGAAATGCATAAGGCGATTGATTGTACATGGCTTTCATGATATAAGTAAAGCGGACGAAGTAAAGGTGATTGATTTTTTGATTTTTTGAAAAAAAAATTAATTTATCACAAGAAATATTTTTCTAGTGCTAATTAACTTTTTTATTTTTTTTAAAGTCGTCTTTTCCATTATTATTAGAACATTTACAAAAATTTTATACATTAAGTATGTCTTATTCCAAATTTTTGAAAAAAAATGTAAGAAAAAGGTTTTATTTAATTAATAATAATAGATCAATATCGATAAAAAAATCATTTTTAATATATATTATTATAGGAAACAACTTACAGGATGAACCATCACAAATATTTGAACTTGTAAAATCTCATATTAATCTAATTGGAAAATTTTTTATCGATCTTCAAAAATCTCATCCAATTTCCTTTGCGTTAATACCCGAATCTTTTGATATTGTGTTATATTATTGGCAATTATTAGTTTTTCATGCAAAATCATATGAATCAGGTACTATTACAAATAAATTATTTTGAATAATAATAATAACAATATTGTTGTTTTTGTTGTTGTTGTTGTTGTTGTTGTTGTTAATCTTTATTGAATTTTTAATTAAATCTAATTATATTTATCATAAATTCGTTAATGAAAAGATATTTTATCCAGATCACCAGGTTTAGAGAAAATATTGGTTCAAGGTTTATTACTTTTGAAAGGCATAATAAGAAAATCATCTTATAATCAGGACCTAAGAGGTAATGTGAATAAATGGTAGTATTATGCGATTCATTTATATATTTATAAATAGTTATATTTTTTTTAATAATAGAATCAAAAGATTCTAGGATATCTGAAGCCATTCAATCTGTTGAGAAACATTTATTAACTCCACCATTTGTAGAATCATGTTGTGAATTGTTAGTATCCAATTTAATTGTTTTGAGAAAAGGGGATTTAACTATGTGGGAAGATGATCCGGAAGGTTGGGTTAATTTTGACGAAAATGATCATTGGGAATATCAATTAAGAGTAGGTTACAATAATATCTGTTTATGAATGTATGTATAATACATATATTTGACGTGTTTATTTTATATATATATAGCCTTGTGCAGAAAGAGTTTTTATGGATCTTTTATCACAATATCGTGACCCATTATCAACAAGAATTTTAAGTATGCTTGAAACTGTTGCATGTAAGTAATAAAAAAATTTTTTAAAATAAAAAATAGTAATTATGTGATTAATAACAATTAACGACGATTTTCTTAAACATATAAATTTGTGTTGCGGATTAAATAAAAGTGCCACGTCTGATTAATGTTAATAATGCTCTTTTTAAAAGGAAAAAAATTTTTTTTTACTAATCAATACAATTTTATAATACAATTATTATATTTAAAAGCTATCCATATGAATGATTTGTTATTTAAAGACGCAGTGTACTGTGCAATTGGGCTTGGTGCACACGAATTGTATGATGTGCTTGATTTTGATTCATGGCTTGTAAATAATTTGTTAATTGAAGCAGCAAATGACGTTCCTAGGTAATTGATTGATTGATTATTTCTGATATATCCAAATAATCAATGTAATTTACTGTAATAAATGAATAGTTAATAAAGATATATTGTTATTATTAATTTTTAGTTTTAAAATAATTCGTCGTCGTATAGCGTGGTTGATTGGGCGATGGGTATGTGTTAAATTATCTAAAGAAAATCGACCAAAAGTATATGATGTGATGACGTATTTAATGAGACCTGAAGAAGATTTAGTTGTTAGAATGACTGCAGCTATTAATTTAAAAGAATATATCCTTACTTTTGAAGTAAAAGAAAATAAAAATTTTATCAATCGATAAATACTGTTATATTATTTGACGTCCTTAATTCTATTCTTTACGTGTTGGCGAATGGGATTTTGATTCTGACGCATTTGTTCCGTATCTTGATCGAGCAATTACACTTTTAACAAATATGATCGGTGAGGTGGAACAATTTGATACCAGGATGAAAATTTTAAATTGTCTTTCTCAGATTGTTGAAAGAATGGAATTACTAGTATTTGTTTTATTTTATTTCATTTTATTTTATATTATTTTTTCTCGAGTTTATAAAATAAATTATCTTATAGATATTTTATTTGACATAGATTGCTCCATTTGCCGAAAAGATTACCAATTTACTTCCACCAATGTGGCAAGCTGCTCATAATGAACATTTGTTCAAACCTGCTATTCTTGTAATTTTGACAAAACTAGTTGAAGTAAGTTGTTATTTATATGTTCATATGTTTGTATACAATTCTTTCATTAGTACCAAATTTTTTAATATTAATTTTTTAAATAAAAATAATTTAAAAAGGCTTTATCAGACCAATCTTCCAAGCTTCATGAATTTATAATTCCGATAATTCAATACAGTGTCGACCCTAATACTGTATGTAGAGTTATTTATTAGTTACTATGTAGTGATGAATGAATTATTTAGAATAATGATAACACTTATTAATTAATCAAATAGGAAGAACATGTTTATCTTTTAGAAGATGCATTAGATCTTTGGTTGGCAACATTACAAAATGTCACAGAGTGCACACAATCTTTGTTTAGTCTTGTTCCATTAACAATCACATTATTGGAATTTGGATCTGAAACATTAAAGAAAGTTCTTAGAATAATTGAAAGTTATATTGTTTTAGTACCTGATTTATCAATTCAGGTTATTATCTTTATTTTTACTGTTTTTGGAAGTTGAATTAGAAAATTAATTTAAATAATCCATTTATATTTAAAATCCGTCTATAATCTAGACATATGCACATCCAATATTAGATGCTTTTGCTAGGATGTTGGGCGATTTAAAACCTGAGGCCTGTCGCTCTATTATTCATGTATTAGATACAATCTTACAATGTTGTTCAATACAGGTTTTAGGTGAATCAATAATTGGTTCGGGTCTATTATGGAAATTATTAAATACTATGCTTTCTGGAAACGAAGTATTTCATATAATCATATTTATTTCCCTACTTTATATATTTGTATATAATGTTATAAACATTTATTTATTTTTCCATTAGGAGTATCCTTATGTTATGGTCAGTTATATTTCAATCCTTGCAAGAATGGTGATTAATAACCTTGAAACATTTTTTCAATTTATCAATGTAGCTGCACAACAATATAATTTAATTCAATCAGATATATTAAGTAAATTATTAGAAATTTGGTTGGATAAGGTAATCTTGTATGCAAATTGTAATTATAATTATATTATATGACGATTTATTAAAATGTACAATAAATTTTCAAGTTTGATAATATTGGGCATCCAAAACAAAGAAAGTTGAATGCAATGGCATTTGCTGCATTAATTGCAACGGATAACCCAGCGATATTAAAATGTTTACAACAATTTATTGGTGTGTGGTGTGATGTACTAAGTGAAGTTAAAGAGTCTGGCGGTGGAGAGTAAGTTTCTGTCCTTTATTTGTTGATAAATTATTAAAAAATTTTGCAATTTCATTTATCATAATTATTTTTTAGTGCATTGGTCTATTGGCAAGAAGACTCAGGTGAAGATGAAGAATTTACTTTACCTGAAGCAAAAAGGAAAAGAATAGTAAGTAGTATTTATTTGTTGTTTTTTTTACTTTTAAGAAAATCATAATTGATGATTTACTTTCTTTTTTGAATAGTTATTACAAAATGATCCAATACATACAACAAATCTTATACAATTTATACATTTGAAATTAAAGGAATGTGAAACTATTAATGGTGGAGCAGAAATGTTTAGAATAAATTATCTAAGTAAAGTAGATGATGCATTATTGGATCAATTAAATAGTTTAATGAATTATTAATGGAATATTGTTGTTATTATTATTCTTCTTTGCGAATTGTAATTTAATTTAATTTATTTATGAAAAAAACTTTTTCTTTGTATATTATTACAATATTATAATAATAATAACTACTTTCTGCAAAGATGTTTATCTATCATCTAGCGCATTAAATATCTACAAATTGTCCCATATAATAAACATGTAGAAAAAAACGAACAATGACTTTTTATTGTTATTGTAATTCAACAAGCCTCGTATATATAGAAGTTTGCCTAAACTAAATTGTGATGATGTCAAAACCCAATAAATGTGCCGAAACTATAATTTGTTGCCGAAACTTCAATTTTTGTTTTGAAAGAAATCATTATAAAATAGTTTCAACCAAGAAATTTTTGTTATTATTATTATGTATAAGGTGTTATAATTCTTTGATTACATTGGTATCAACAAATGGTAAGTTCGGCAAAGTGTTTGCTTTGGCAGATTTTGGTGTTGTTGGAAAATGTACTAGTTGAATACCATATTCTGGATCATTATCTTCTTAATCTAAGTCTATGATTTCCAAATCTGAAAATCTTTCATTAGCTATGTAAATATTCTTATTATTCCCACAAAGCAAACAATGAATAAATTAGGAATTACTCAAAGAACGCATTTGCTTGGCTTTATTGATAATATATTTAGGAAGATACTTCTCACGCCCTCTTTCATTTCAATTTTGTAATTTGTAGATGATTGATTGATTCCAAAAATTTTTTATAACATAAAAAATGAATTCTTTTCAGCAATCTTGATTAAATTTAAATCTTTATCTACTAATATTTTATTGAATGTGCGCATTTATAATTTGGGGCATGCTGCAACAAAACCAGACAAAGTGAACATTGGTATTACCAAGAATTTCAGGGTTCAAATTTAGTTATTATCATCCATCACAATTAAGTTTTATAATGTCCCATTTGTTAAGTGATATATAGAATTGTTCCTATATAAAAATAGTTAATATGAAACTAATTTACATCAGATCTACTACGGAACCCAAGAATTTATAGCACCATTAGAAGTATTTTAAAAAAGGAACAAGGTGAAAAATTGCTCCTTATGTTTTTCAAAATAAATAATACTCAGAAACTGGAAACCTATCTAAGAAAAGAAAGGATTACCTATGAAATTTACCAAGAAGAAAGAAAAATCATAAATAATAAAAGAACATTAACATAAATCCAAGAAAAGTTTAGAAAGAAAAGAAAATTGGAAGAAAATTTATTACCTAATTATCAGCACAGGTGACATGTGTATGTTAATATTACAACAGAAAGAACAATTGCCACATGACAACTTAATATTATTAATTTATTCTGTGTCTTTCTTTCTTCAAAAATAAACAATTTATTACTATAAGCAAGATTATTTCTCCTACTAAAAAAATTCAAGATAAATAATTATTTACTGCAAATCTACAAATTTGTAATTATTATTATAACCACATGAAAATTGCTGAGTTGTACATAGATAATTCTGTATAAAATTGTGTATTTATATAGATTTTATATGCAAAAAAATTGCTGATGTAGCTTAGAAGTTGAGGACAAATTGATACAGAAAAGGAAGGAAAAAAGGCATCTTTTGTTGGTGTATCCAGTAGGAGTTTTACTCTAACATTTTTTTTATTCATCATTCGAAACAAGAGTTTATTAATAAAATAGATTAAAAATTTGTTTAAAATTTTGAAAATAAGAGTATATTTTATTGCAAAGTTTTGTATATAATATAATTAATTAGTTAATTTAAAACAGCTATAAATAATATTAATAAATTGATTCTGATTACCAACCAAGTGGAAAAAACTCCCAAAGAAAAAATATATTTCTTAAAAAAGGTGGTAGAAATAAACAATATAAAAAACATTATTAAGGAGTGGAATTTACATTTAACTTGGGAGGGTTTTCCTCCATCAAACATCTATGCCTCCCCTGAACATTACTGGTTAATAAATTAGTAATGTTTCCATGAATTTAACCTATATTTTTACAGGAATTAAAATAAATAAAATTCCTGCAGATTGGCTATAATGTACAAAAAACTTACCTCCAAACACTTAAGGATGCAATATATGTCTTCAAACATACTACAATGTGTTTCATCAACTGGTAATTGACATTCATCCACCCTCCCAATCCTATATACTCCATTTCCAATCCAATTCATTGCATAAAAACTAATTACTATTCCTTAATATTAATTGTATAATACATCCATTAGTAAATCTAAATTCACATTCTAAGTATCAGTTGTTTATTTCGAAACCTACCCACTTGAAGCCACCCATATACAATTATTTTTTTTCTTTCAACATCTGTAACATATTTACAATCCTTAAAGAGACTATTCAAGCTGTCTCACATCAACATTAAGGTTTCTGGTCCAAACTGCCCAAACTAGTTTGGGCAATCTGGGCTTCTCAGCATTTTTTTATAAGCATGAACATTAAAAAAAAAACTATATGAATCAACTTGTTTTAACTTAAAATAATTTTTCCCAATTTCAGCTAATAACAAAAAGTAGTTTGGGCTTATAAAAAAATAATTTTTGCCCAAAGTATTTGGGCAATTTCGGCTACTAATAGAAGCAGTTTCAGCCAGAAACCTTAATCCACACCATCAATTTCAATTTATCAAGATATTGTTTTTTATAACAAGCAGATGGGGTTCCAAAAGAATTCAATCCCCCAGATACCTCTCCATAAACTATTTCAAACTTAATTGGGGTCATCAATAATAATACCTTCATGTCTACACACTGACCAATACAAGCTCTTTTAAAGGACTCTTGTTTTGATTTCTATGAGATTGACTAGCAAAGGACTGTATTTCCCCCCTACATGTGAAAGAGTAACATTCATTGTCGTATAGAATGAATCAAATACATACAATAGCTTACCAAGAATCTTTGATATGAGTATTCTTTGCAAATATCCCACAGAACAAAGGGAATGTTGTGCATGTTTTTAATTCTTCTTTGGACATTGCCCCTTTGAAACAATACATATTATTTTTTCTGGAAATAGAAATATAATGTTAGAATCCACACCTGGTTAATTAATAATATAATATTAAGAAAAGATTCAAGCCAAAAAAGTTTGTTTATTTTTTTACTCCTTTATTCTTAATTAATTTATCCAGATAATGGTTACCCAATCCTCAATTTACAATAATTATCATTAGGCACCACTGAATTTCCAATATGATTGATGTCATCAGCTGTTGTCACCATAATGTCAACATATTGATGCTTCATAACAAGCCTAGATACTTTTCATTAATCCTGATAATATCAAATTAGATGTGTATCCAAAAATTGGTTAACATGGATTTATATATCATTTTATTCAAATAAAATAAACTATAAAAGAATTAATTATTATATATAAAATAATCTTTGGTCGTGGTAATTACCTAAGCCAGTGGCTGAAGACCAGTACTAGAATAATCAATTCATTCTTTGACTGTCTTAAGAAGATTCTGGCATTGTTACATTGTTATTATTATTGATTTCCTTATTTATCATCACTTTGACCAATTTATACTTTTTTTCGAGGTAATGATATATTGACTCGAATTGGGAAAATTATAATCAGATCTGTTTATTATGCATAAAAAAAAAAAATCAATAATTGATTTTATAAGTATCAATAGCTCATTTATTTAATTTATTTAATTATTCAGTTCTTTTTCAAAATGGCGTTCCAAATAACCAAAAGTATGCAAATTAAATCATCAAAATGTTCAATAATATCAATTAAAAAGATTTCTCGTTCTTTACTGATTAATAATCAACGAAGAAATTCAACTGCTGTTGCTGCTACAACAACACCAATTACTCATTCAAAATTATTAAATTATAAAATAAATAAGAAATATTATACTACTGAGAACACTAATAATACTAATAATACTAACGCTCAAAACCCATCATCTTCAAATGATGCAATCAACAAAGGTAAGATCCTTGAAAAAAAAACCACATCTGGAATAGAGTCAACTATTAATGGTGAAAACAAGAACACTGCTGATAAAGTTAATAATAATAGATCACTGAAAAATATAGATTTCTTTACACAAAAATCTTCCACTGCCGCTACTTCTTCCACTTCTTCAAACAACAACAACACCAATGATAATAACATCAATACTAAAACTATTATAGCAATACCTTTACTTCCTATAGCATTGATTATTGCAGCAACAGCATTAACGGGTCTTGGCTTTTATCAATACTTCACTTCTAATGTTCACAAATATCCACCAGAAATCAGAAACAACCTAAAGAAAGGTTTGTATTACCAGAACTATCAGAATGATCCAAACAAAGCAGTCAACTACTACCAGAATGCTTTGAATCAGGCATATAATGATGAAAGTTTGGATAATTCGTCGCCGGAAGTTACTGGAATTATGATTCTGTTGGCTGGATTATATGAAGAAATTGGAAGAATGCGTGATGCAGTTGATGTTTACACGATGGCTTATGATTCAATAGCGACGACAACTATGATGGATACCGATAGCAATAATAATAACAATACTGGTGTAAATGTGAAATTAAAGGATGATGATAGAATTAGATTGATTGCTTTAGCACAAAAACTCGGTGATTTACACGAAACGTTGAAACAAGATGATAAAGCTGAACATTATTATGTATGGTCTGTTGAACAATTACTACAAGCAGCCAATCAATTTGATCATAACTTAAATAATGGTGGCGGTAGTAATGGCGAGGGTGTTGGGAGTGGGAGTATTGGAATGAATAATAGTAATGTCAATGGTAGCAATAACGCTGCTACTTCATCTAATGTTGGTAGTGGGGGTTTATTTAAAAAAAAACTTGATGTAGATCCATTGCCATCATGGATGACATCTACAGATTTAGGTGCATCACTTGAAGCATTGGCTTCATTTTATTCTTCAAGACGTAACTATTCGTAAGTAAATTAATAATAATGATATGTATGTGCATGATTGCACGTTCATTCCATTCATTCATTTCATTTATTAATCACATTTTTTTTATGTAGATATGCACTCCCACTTTATCTTCGATCATTATCATTGATACACCCACCGGAATCGTCGTGTCATTCAGCTGTTTTAATGAATAACATATCCAAGGTGTTTACAGGCATGGGTGAACTGAAGGAGGCACAAGGATGGGCTGAACGAGGATTAAAATTGACAGAAAATTTCCAACAAAATAAAAAAGGGACAAGGGAATGCGATGAAACTTGCGATGTTTTATTATTTAATTTGGGAATGATTTTGGAGGTATTTATATTATGAATATTGTATTTATATTCATATTTATATTTATATTACTAATATATTATTATTGTTATTATTGTATAGTTGTCAGGTGATATAACTAAAGCAACTGAATATTATGAAAAGGCACTTTCATTTGCCAAAAAAATCAATTTTACAGAAGGTATAAAGGAAGCAGATTTTGCTTTACAAAGAATAACCGCCTTGTCAAGTGAGAATTTAATAAATAAATAAATAGATAAATAAAATAAAATAAAATAAAATAAATAAATGAATAAATAAATAAATAAATTAGAATTAATTAATTAATTAAATTAACTAATTGAAATTTAATTAAAAAAATAAACCATTGTATTTTAGAATTAACAAAGCTTTATAATAAAATGTATATGTGTGTGTATATTACGATTTGAAAATATATAAAATATATAACAGATTTAATTAACTATGAGATTTCCAAACACCCGATAATTCATAATATGCTGCAATAGTACCAAATATTCCTTCTCCAATTTCTGGAAATATTGAATTTGGAATTGACCAATGTAACTATTAATAGATAAATAAATAGTGAGTGAGATATATATTAAAATATAGAAATATGATTATAAATTGTTATTGTCATTATTACTCCGCCACCACCATAGCAACAACAATAATAATAATAATCATTATTCAATTTACTTACAGTCAAAGGGAAATATCCAATATTAGTGAAAACTTCTCTAACGATTCTTTCATGATCTTTTCTTAATCTTATTTTACTATTAGCATCCTTCTCGTCGAAATTAATCGATTTTACCAACTCCAATTTCTTTCGTTTAACAATCTTCCACTCCAAATAAGAACAGGAGAATTGTACCAGGACATAAATTGCCCAGAATCTACAACTCCAAACACCAATCTTGTTCATTAAATCTTCCGGAATTGGGATAATTTTGTGGAACGACAACCACCAAGTATGTTCAAGTGGATAATATAATAACATTAGAATGTTTTGTAAACGTCGTAGATTTAGTAGCAGGGGCGACGAGTAAGTTAACGATTCATCATTCTCTATGCTGATCATCCATTGAATTAATGGAAGAAGTCCATAATAACTATAATATATAAGAATAAAAATAAAAATGTTTAAATAAATAATATTATAAATAGCAAATTATATAATTAATAAATGTGCAGTAATCACTTACCGAAGAAATATCCTAAAATCTGCTATTGGACTATACAAATTGTAGATTCGTTGAGCCAATGATTTTTTTCCAATACGCGTGAAAAACCAAATTAAAATTTTTGAAAAGTATTGTATAAACTAATTCATTATCATTGTTTTTGATGGTTATGATGCGTATGTGTGTATGTATAAATATACGTAATTTGTTAATTATAGCAGCAATTATAATGAATTCTCATTCAAATAATTTCTAACTTAAAAAAAGCATTACCATTAAAGCTTTGTCAGTGCCAGGAACGGTTTTAAGAAATGTTACAAGTCGATCAAGTTTAGGATTATTAGGCGGAAACAGTTTCCCAACTGCTAACAGATCCCGTCCTTCTGAAGACAATTTTGATACAATTGCCATTTTTTTCCTCTAATACATTAATTTATAAATAAAAAAATAAATTTATTATGTATAATGCGGAGCCTCTTGAACCACTTCGTAAAAATTTTTTTTTGATCTTTAAAAAAGTATAGAACTTTATCAGTTGACAAATAGAGATTTTCTCAGATTAACCATTAGATCATGCCACAAAGACCATTTTTGGAATGCTCCCAAAATTGGCCAACATGACGCAGCATAATTATAAGAGAAACCAAGAAATACTTGAAGACGTTAGTATATTTTCATTGGTTAGCACAACTTTCCGTCCTATACAATTCATAGAGAATGCATAAGGAATCACCACTAATCACTGATTCATTCTAAGAAAGCCATTCGTTGCGAATTTATTTTAGCAATCATCAAAGGCATTCTATGGGACTATATCGGTTTATCCACAATATGGAATTCATGGAAAAGGACCCACAGACTAGGCAATAAAAGTGAGAGACACCACCATCATCATCGTCATCATCACTAAAATAAAACGAGAAGGCATGACTAAGTAATCGCAGTGTAACAGCGAAAAATGAAAATATGACGAAGAAGTAATTATGGCACTATTTTAATGGCTATCTGTCGTTGATTGGTAATAATTGAGTCAGGCATTAATGATTTTAATTACAATGTTTCTTATTATATTTTCTTTTTTATCAGATATTGATATTTTAAATTTTTCTTCGACATGCTTGAGAATAGTGAAAATCTTGATGTTAAATGGTTGGAAGTTAATCTATTTGGTGACGGTATTAGTAAATGTGTGTGAAAAGAAAATAGACGTTTTCATTTTCAAGCTAAAAAGGCTTTTTTAACATACACTCAATTTGATGGCTTTAATGTATATTAAAGACATCCTTGACGATAAATTATAGTAAGAAAGGCACATACCATGGACGGTTTTCATATTTAGAGCTTACAGAAAGGATTAGATTTGGAAAATGTTATTTTGATCGAAGCGCCCTGAATTTATATAAGAAAATATAGTTGATAGTATTCATACTAAGGAATTATTGTTGCAAGTATTCTTTTTCCAACATAATTAGAAACTTTTGTAGAAGTAATAAATGGAAGAACAGGGGTTAAAAAAAGTAGATATCATAAAAGTTATAAATGATATTAATATTAAAAATTGGTTGGTGGGAAAGAATTCGTTGTTATACATAGTAATAGATGATTTTTTTTTTTTGAAGTTATTAGATAAAGGAATTTAATTTGAGGAAATAATTTTTACAATAAAGCCATATAGATCAGTTGTGTAATAGTGACAGGGAAAATTTTTGGTCAATTTCTACCCTGACATAAGTAACATCATCAAATCTCATTTTTTAAATAACAGATAATATGGAACCATCTATCCTGACAAAATTTCATGCTTATAACTTTTAACGTGGATCCAGGTTGACGAAAATAAATTTTCTAGCATAGAGCATATGACTCAATTATGGTTGTCTGGGGTCCTACTTCACCAACAGCATATTTTAAGTTCTTGCAACGAGACTTTTGTCTATTATAACCTCAAACTTTTCTTCAAAAAAGGTTATTAAACTATTTTCAAAAAAAAAATATCATTTTTTTAAAAAAATCAACACTCATAAATAAATTTAGGGTGGTGTTAGAATCCGCTAATATGTGGAGCATATCCGAATTCCAATCAATTTGGTTCTCTAGAATGATGTGACCTGAAACTCTTAGTTAGGTAGAAGTTTGGGGTTTAGGTTCTCTCCAGAAACCGTAAGTTTAGGGGTTTCTTGGCGTCGAAAGGTTCCTCTCTTTAAAGCTGCTTTTTTACTATGTTGTTTGATAGCATCAATTCTGATAAATTACGTATTAGATACTATGGAAAGTTTTACAACATATCTTCATTGGCGCAGATTATTACGTTGAAAACTGGGTTAGCCTAAAATCACATGATTATCAAATATTAATTGCTGATTATCTGATGTACTAACTTTGCGTATTAACCAAAGTCGCCTTACCTCTACATATATATTTCGGGATCCTAATTAAATATATATATGTGTGTTTACAAAATTTTTCGCTAACCAAAACCTATTAGAAACGATTCGCGTAAAAAAAGTACATTCTTCGAAATAATAACAGAAATTTATATTTAAAGAGCTATTTGTTTGTAAAAAAATACTTTATATATATACACATTAATTCCCTGTTATATATAATAGGTACAAATACTTTAGGCGTTCAAAAAAAAAAATCACAAACGCATTATTTGTAATAGCTGTTTATTAATTAATGCATGTGCATATCAAGATAGAAAACAAAGATCGTAACAACTTCAAATAATTTAAATTATCTATCATTTGTCTTAATTAAAGAATTTACCCTGTAAAAAATGCCACTCCAGAATATTTTCAGTTTATTTCATAAAAGCAGCAATCAGTTGAGTAAGCAATCCGGGTTTTTCCGTGATGTCATTTATATTAATATAAGGACATTTGTAAATGTGGAATTAAAACAGAATGTGAGAATAAGATTTTATAGCTTTGAAATATTATCAAGTAACTAATAAACTCGCAAATAAAAATGTCATTTTGTTTTTACAAAACATTTTATTTGTTAACTATAAACTTGAATACTAATATACTAATACGGAAATCACACGGAACTACATTATTATTATTATTATTATTATTATTATTATTATCTAGTACTAGGCGCGTGACATTTCCCGCAGGTTGCAAAATAATAAAATTGATCTGCATCATAGTAAAATTTTTTATAAATGTAAATAATTATATTGCTATGAATATTTATAATATTTATACAGTTTAAAATTTTTCTTTTACATTTTATTCCTACATAAATAATAACGATTAAAATAATATGAGCAAGCTACAATAACATACCAATTGTCAAAAATGAGAAGATAAATGCAAAGAGATATTTAATATTATTACTAAAATGCGTCAACGAATTGTGATTTAAAATCAATATACTAAATATTAACTATAAATAAGTTTTGAATATTATGTGCAATAGAAGTTAGGCTTTCTTTTAAATCTAAGATCACTCAATTCGATCAAATACTTAGCAAGATGCAAAAATATACGGTAATAAGTAAAGAACTATTTCGTTTTTAAATACTTATATGGCATTTTCAAATAATCAAACCCGCCTATCATCAGTGTTGTGACCCGAAACTCTGAGTTTAGGAAAAACCCGAAACAGAAACTAACAGAAACCACCTGAAACTAGTTTAGGTTAGTAGTTTATGTTTATGTTTATGTTTAGTTTTAGTTTTCTGCTTAGTGTAAGTTCATTTTCCGAAACGTTTCGGGAAGCCAAAAGAGTTTCTGATCACAACACTGCCTATCATACAACTAGATAGAGCATTCATCAAATATATTTTACAAATCTTGCTTTCCAAGCTTTGTAGATCTCATCTAGTATTGGTTAAAAAAACAGTTTTATGGACCCAATTAATAGTAACATGTTTTTTTACTTTTGTACCTATTTTTATATTAATATTTTATATGTATATTTAGGAATGTAATAATTAAATTAAAAGGTATTTCTTTTTCCAAAGGTTAATGGTTGAACGAAATCAGGAAGAATTGTTATGTGACCTATGTGACTATATTTTATTTATTATTAATCATGATATATATATTCTTGTAAGATCTGGTGTTGTACAATCAGAAGAATTTTTACGCGGCTATATTTTATTATTTTTAGAAAACAGGTAGAAAATCAACATAAAAAATTCTAGTTAATATATAAGGCTCCGAATCGAATCGAATTTTAGAGTGATTTGATTCGTTTCGTTTCGTTTAGTTTCGTTTCGTTCTGTAGTCAATTCGATTCGGATCAAATCGGATTCCTGAATTTTTCTTAATGTCATATTAAATACAGTGAATATTAATGTAGTGTGCCTCAATTTAATGGATAATAACAAATTGAGGTTTAATAATAATAATAATAATAATAATAATAAAATTCTTCTAAATATAACGGATTTATTGTTATAGTCACAACGGATAGATACATAATAATAACAATAAGAAAATTTTTATATGTTTTGTTTATATGTGAAGCAAAAATTTTAAAAATCCGTTATGATAAGAATTTAATTATTATTATCATTATTATTATAGTCCGCTGTGACAAGGTTGGAATATAATAATAACGGATTTTTGGAAAAAATTTTCTAAACCCAAACTATCTGCTAAACAATTATACAATAATTAATTATTAACACAAAAAAAAGATTTAACATTTGCCGTGTCACGATCTCCTTCCAAAACTCGCAAGTCGTGCGACTTCCGCGCAGTTTTCTCGCCGATTGT